AGTGTGTGTATTAACCCCTCTGTCTCAGTGCAGGGTCAGTGTATTAACCCCACCACCCTGCTTGTTACCTGCCAGTTTCCTCTTTGTCAGGGTGGGGGCACGCTGCCTTCGAGGGGGGGTCTCATCAATCTGAAGCTCATCCTCTGAGTCGCTCGCTCCTCCCCCCACATCCTCCAGCTGGCCAATGAGGGGCTGAAACTTGGCTGGGCTCATGCCTGACCGCGCCCCCTTCTTTCTGCGAGATGGAGGAGGAAAATATATCATAGAAAAAAAGCTTTTAAAAACCTTATATATATATATACTCTGTGAGCAACAGAACTTTATAATATGAATGGAATGAGCGAGGCCTCAGGGTGCCCGTCCACTCTGCTGTGTGCATGGAGACCTGTGGTGTGGCGACACCATGCCCAGTTTCTGCAGTTTCAGGCCGTCCAGGGAGGCGAGGAGGTTCACCATGAACTCGAAAATCGGGAGGACACAGCGCTTCGCAGCTGTAACGCACACTGATGGCTTCGGGCCTCATTCACAGCCCAATAACACGCAAGACCCTGCCAGAGGTCGAAGACGTCGATTCCGCTCGTGCGCTGCCCTGAGCAGGGCAGAGCAGGACTGCTGTGACAGCAGGCAGGACAGGAGAATGGCCGGCTGTACTGCAACAGGGGATCCTGCACTAGCGGGGCTATATCCCTGCCTCCCCACAGACCCTCTCTCACCCCACGATCTTGCCGTTGGTCAGAACCAGGTGCAGTTTGCTTTTGTTCAGCTTCCCTTCCAGGTCATCCAGACAGGCGGCCGGGATCTCCAGCTGAGAAAGAGAGGGAGAGAGGGAGGGAGGGAGAGAAGGAGAGCTTTCATGAGGCTTTTCTGATGCTATTGCACTCCGTATCAAACCATTTTTTCAATTTCTCTTTTTTTTGGGTAGTTTTTTTAATTTGGCTCGTTTTAGCTTTGACTTTGATGCTAGTTTGTGAAATAGGAGATGTAGTTTTTATGTGGCCAAATTTCTGCCTGTTTTGTTGGTTTGATATAGGGAGTTTAGGAATGTGTTCAATAGTGTCTGAATTTGTTCACCACCCAGTGCAGTGTTGCGCAGTTTGTGTTGCAGCACAGTGAACGCTATGTAGTTTGGCACCGGGTCCTGTCCATGGTCACAGTTGTGTTGTGCAGTTTGTGTTACCTTGCCCTTGGTCTTCTTCAGTGTGTGCTTGGTGTGGATCTCCAACAGGTCCAGCTCTCCAGCGCCCCCTACAGTCCCGGCAGCTGCCTGGCTCTCCTTGCTCTTGCGGCCCCTCTTTTTCCCCGTGGCCCCTGGGGGCGCCCCCTCTTTTGGCTTGGGTCCCCTCTTCCTGCCAGGGGGGCGGCTTGGCGGGGCAGGTGGGGGGTGCTGGGCGGGCAAAGCCCTTGGTGCCCCGAAGGGGGCGCCGGTCTTCCCCAGGTTCTGCTGGAAGATGTCCTGAGGAGGAGGGATGAGAGACGAGCACAGGCAGACGCAGAGTCAGACACGCGTGCAGGTGTGCACCCCCCCCCCAACCATGCAAAGTCACTCACGTCAAGTGCTACTAAATTATTCAATCCCACAGTGCCTCACAGCAGAGAACCGCCACAAACAGACAAATTCACACATAATCAACTCCACCCCTACACTCTCACACGAATCCCTCCAGTGTATATGGTTATGTGACCTTCCCATATATGATAATGAATGCAGTAATGTATCAGCTTTAAAGGGGAACTCCAACTCTATTTCGGGGTTAGAAAGAATTGGTACTGATGACTGCATTTCGAATGATAATGAAAGCAAAATCTACAAGTTCCAGGTCTGCGCAGCGCCACACTGCAGTCATTGTCTGCGATTCAGAACGAGGCCACAAAACCTCTGGCGACGCGAAGCTGCTCTGTTTCATTGTAAGAAGATGCCTGTAAATACAGTACTGTATATCTCTTTTAATCAAATAGAAATACTGCTCTCGACTTCGAGACGGTTTCGCTGACAAATACTGCTGACTTGTCAACGCTGCCTGCGGATCACGCTGGAACATTTCTGCGGCGAGATGCCTGCTGCACAACCTGAACTTATTCGCTCGTCCGTCACATCACATCAGACGTTACAGTGCCTAGTGAGCAGGAAGGGCCCCTTCGCGTCACGATTCGTGGGAATTCTTGCTCTCACCCGTGAGGAGACCAGGGGGTTTGCGCCAGTATCGCGACTTTCACAAAGTTCACGATTTTGTGCTTGATTCAGAACGTGTCAAAATGTTCCATACCGCGAAGCGCGAACAGGCCAACTCGCCAGTGTTAAATCTGCAGGTGTCGAGACCCTGCTGGCGTCAGACCGCAGACGAAACGTCTCATCACGCCAGAAAGTATTGTAAGAAATTATCCTGAACTAGATCACAGATTTGAAAGGCCTTTTCCTGGTCTGCACGTGTGTCAGGCGCTATTTTGCGGCTTAGTGTTCCTCCGCGCATATCCCTCCGCACCTCCACCAGCCGGATCTCCTTGGCCAGGTCCTTGACCAGCTGCTGGGTCTTGATGGTCTCGGGAATCTCCTCCTCGTGCTCTGGGAGGGCCTGGGAGGGTCACAGGGTCGCAGATACAGGGGGTCACAACACAGCGCAGGCCACCAGGCAACACACTGCTGTGGAGCTTGTGTTGCTGTGCAGTGGGCAGATACAGAGTGTTGTGTAGCTTGTTTTGCTGTG